TGTACTCTTTCAAGTACTTAAACAATTATCCAAAAGGCAAAGCCAAGCTCAGCTGGCCACTGCACATTTTATTGGCATGTAAGTGACTGGCTAATGCTCTGGACTGCAAAGTTGGTTTGAACTGCAAGGTCGGCGGTTCCAACTCACCAGTCGCCCCTCAGAAACCCTACACAGGGTCGCTATGAGTCGAAACTGACTGGACAGCACTAACAACAGTGTACCTAACAGAACTGTCCCAATTGAGCTGGAGTCAGTGTTGAACACTTCATATATAAAGCAGAGTGCCTCAGCCTCAGCACTAGTAATATTTTGTCTGGAAAATTCTTCATTGTAGAGGCCGTCCTGTATATTGTACAATGGTTAGCAGGATCCCCACATCTTGTGACAACTGGAAAGGTCTCCAGATAATGCCACATGTTCCCTGGAAGGCATAATCCTTGTAGGTTGAAAACTACAATCTCAAAAGTGATAAGTGCTGGATTTAATGAGTTTGTTAGATAAAATTGTCTCCAATTTTGAATTTGAATTCTCATGACATCTTTGACTTTGGAACCACATGTTCTCAATCTGAGTGTCACTACCACTGGGTGGATGACTTCTCTATTTAATACTTATAAAGCTTTTATGGAAAATAAATGAAAAGCCCCTAACTGCCTTATTTGTACATAGTAAATGGGACATAACATTCTTTTAAATATGAAGATATATCAGAGTATCTTTGAAAATGGCACCTAAATGTATATATTTTGAAGCAGATAAAAATTAATTTTAAAAAATCTTAGTATTAAATAAAGAGAAAGCACAATGACAGAACAGTGGAAAACACACAGAGTAGGTGACCCAAGAGAAGGCAGAAACGAATTAATCTGACAGGAGAATCAAGAGGTATTCAGAAGTGAAAGAGTAAAGCCTCGTGGTGTTGCAGGAGTGAGGACTGACAAGAGACCACTGACTGACACATAGGTGAGCATTAGTTATTGCTTCAGCACAAGCATCTTAGATGTCGGGATGGAGGCAGCCCGACAGCAATGGATTGAGAAATACTGGGAAACAGAAACATTAAATTTGTTCATATGGCCAACCCTTTCAGTATATTGCCATGTCTTTTGCATTAAGGATGGAGCATATGTAAATGAAAAATCTGTGCATGTTTGTACACAGAGATAACAAGAGATAGAGTAGAAATATACTTGTAGGTGGTAAACTGTCTGCAAAGCCCCTGAGAAGGGATGAGATCAGCAGCCATTGTGAAGGGATGGACTTGAAAAGGCAGAGACCTCTTTCTTCAAGATAAGAATGAAGAGACTTGAGAACTAGGAAAGGTGTGTATTATAGGAAGACTTAGGAGAGAAGTGAGGAGATTAATACCTGGTAGTCTCTGTTCTCTGAAGGCATGGAGTTACGTTATTGACTAAAGCAAAGTGGGAAACGTCTGGCTCGAGGACCGTATGTTGTTGTTAAGTGCTGTCAAGTCGGTTCCAACCCATATCGACCCTGCATAAGGTTTCTGAGGAACAGCTGGTGAGCTTGAACCTTGCGGTTCAAACTGACTTTGCAGTCCAGTGCCACACCAGGACTCTGAGGGCCATATAAGGCCCACAGATTTGGGGGTCTGGTCCTGCCAGGACAATCACAGCTTCAACCATCACATTAGGGGTGTAAACAGGCTAATTTTTAATTAGAACATTTTGTAGAGCCTGAGAATGGTGTTATAAATTTTGGCAGAAAGCAGGTTTCCCACCCCTGTACTAAGATAATGATTTAACTATCTGCTGAAAATACATCAGACTAAGATTTGTAATGTCCCTGTAGAGGATAAAACTGAGACATTTATGATGGCACCAAGTGTGGGTGACTATAGAATTTGCTTCAGTTGTTAAGTGTCAAAGTGCTGTCAAGTCCTAAACCCTATATAGAGTTCCGAAGAGCAGTTGGTAGGTTTGAACCGCCAACCTTGCAGTTAGCAGTCCGTATCCTTTAACACCACACCAGTGGTGCTTAGTTATTCAGGTGCAGAGCTAGAGTGTGACTGGTTAAACCGTCCAATTTTATAGAGTGCCCTGGTGGAGGGCAGATGGCCTATGGGGCAAGCAAACCAGAAGGGGACTTCCTCACAGAATTAATCAAAAGCGTGACCCTGGGTGGACTTGGGACACAAACCTTAGGGGAAAAACGAGGCCAGAGTTGTTAATTAACCTGAAGAAAAGGGAAGGATCAAGGATTTGAGGTCTTAATAGGAATTAAAGTGGATTTAATGGGAGAAATTATTGGAATAAATGAACGGAGATAAAGTAAGATCAGAGATTGGGTATCTAAATACAAAATTTTTGAGTTTATATAGAGTCAGAAAGCAGGGTTTCCCAAAATGTGCCATCCAACAGACCAGGCTTGCAGCATACAGAGATCAGCATTTTAAAGTAACTAGAAAAATTATCTTTTTTTTTTTTTCAAGTGTTTGGTTCCATTTTAGCTTTTCACAAAGAGATGTGTGTACATACGTAACTACTTCTAATTGTTAGGGACCGTCAGGCTCGTTCCGACTCATAGAAATGGGAACAGAAAGCTTCATCTTTCTCCTGCCAAGCGACTGGTGGGTTTGAACTGTGAGTCCAGTGCTTATCCTACAGCGACATCAGCACTCCTTATGTAACTAGTATACCCAGTAAATTTAGTACTGTATGTACTGAGTCAGCCCTAACTCACAATTGAGCAAATCTATTGCAGAAGGCCGTTTTCTTTCATATAGCAAAGCGTTTGCCTTTTCAACCATTTTTACAAGTACAACCCAGCCATCCAACCACACTCCCCATGTTACACAACCATCACCATTTCCCATTTCCTGTCTTTTTTTCACCAGCTCTCTCTCCTTTCTTGCCCCACCTCCTTTCTTGCCCCACCCCGTTTCCTTCCCTTTTTAATGTTATTTGCAGGAAAGTTCCCAATGGTTTGCCCTAGTGGTAAAATGAGCATACATGTTACCCTTCCAGTACATGAAAGAAAAAGAAAAACATTTTTTTTTCTCCTATCCTTCCTTTTCTTTTTAACTGCCTTCCATCTCACCCAGGTTAGCATGTAAAAATGCAAAGATGTCGCCTTGAGGACTAAGGTGTGCCTGACCCAAGCCTCTGTATTTTGAGTCACCTCATATATATGAGAAAGCTGGACAGTGACTAAGGAAGACTGGAGAAGAATTGATGCCTTTGAATTACAGTGTTGCTGAAGAATATTGACTATGTCAAGGACTGTCAGAAGACCGAATAAATCTGTCTCTGAAGTACAGCTTGAATGCGCCTGAAAAGTTGGCGTAGTGAGACTCTTCTCTTGGTACAGAAGCTATTGCGTATTCAGTAGAATGTGTGTCCAAATGTAGAGTGACGTCACTGAGACCATTTCTGGTCCTTTCACAGGCATTCCCCACTCAAAAGCAGAAGTTGGGAAGAAAGGGACATTTCGGATCAGTTTTTGATTGCATTCAACTGTAGAAATTACGTTTTCAAATTTTGTTGTGACATTTGAATATGGTTTTTGTTTTGTTTTGTTTCTGTTGAACACATAGCACTTTTATTTTGGGCAATGAAGATTATATACAAAAGAGACACACCACCACTGTTTACTTACTGTGCTTTTTCAACATTTGCTTTCATATGTGTCATTGGGCTCATTTCTACTAACTGATATCATTAAATCTATGTCTGGGTGGTAAAAACCATAAATAGCATGAACATCATGCCATATTTCCTGTTCGTATTTGAGTGTTTTGTAGCATTGTTGCCTATAGTTGTTTTTTTGTTTTGTTTTGTTTGTTTGTTTTTTAATGTTTTATTGTGAATTA